GAGATGGTGGCCAGGATGATGAGCAGGTTTCCACACACAGTGATCAGGTACATGGAGAGGAAAAGCCCAAATATGAGGGGCTGCAATTCTGGTTTCTCTGAAAGTCCCAGAAGAAGAAATTCTGAAATATCATTTCCTGGTTCCATAGTGACTATCTAAAAAGAAAATAAGATGATTAATTTCTCATGAACAGAAATTACTCACTTCGTTGAAATGCCATAGGTAATATTTTACAATCACACAGTTATTTTTTATGTTCTTGTATGGATTTAATCCCCTTTAGGCTTTCATAGTGTCATCTCTGCTAGGACTTCTTATCTCACTTCTTTGTTCCCAGAGATCAGGTATTCTACAGGATTGTTCATGTATTTATTGACAAATAATAGTATATATTTATGGAGTATTATATGTTGTTTTAATAGGCTTTCTTTCTTTAGTACTGCTGTTGGTCACATGCACTCACCAGAGAGAGAGAGAGAGAGAGAGAGTGAGAAATCAGCCCCTCCCAGGAGTAAGAGCCACACTACAGTCCATTGTCCTCTCAGGATATTGGGCATGCATGAACACATGCCTTGCAAGTTTTCCAAGCCACTTTGTCTGAGAGTTGACCTGCACAGTCAACCATGTGCAATTAAGCTGCTTTAAGCACCACACCACCAACTGGTACAATAACTATAATTTAATATCCATTGAAAAATCAACTCTCTGTTTTGTCCTTTCGCCAGCTCCCTGGCAACCACCATTCGATTGTCTGCTTCTATGACTTTGACTACTTCCGATCCCTTAGTTAAGTGCAATCAGTCTTTCATTGGTTTTCAAAGGTATTCCATGGATCAAAATAGATTTCTCCTCATTTTTCTCTGTTGATTGGTATTTAAACATTTTTATTATTACAAGAGTCATAATTTGGGAGGCCAAGTATCATAGTGGTTAAGGCACTGGACTCCCACATGGCTGACTGTAGTTCAAGTGCCAGACCTACCTAGCAGCTTGAAAATCACACTGGGCTTGTGTGTATGCATGCCCAGAATCCTGAGAGGAAAATGGAGAAGAAGGATTGCAGAGGGGGACATCTCCCTGGGGCCTGATTTCTCACTTTCCCACTCTGTCTTTCTGTCTCACTCTCTCAGCCAAGCACATGTGCTAAATTGAAAAAAAAAAGGATTTATTTCTACTACTGATGGAAGAGCATTTTTCCAAGTCAATAAAAATTAGGGGTGGGTGGATGTGTACACAATATGTCAGACTCTTAGATTTGATAATACAAATCTATTAACTTTTTGCGTTCATCCGATACATATCTACACCTATCAACACATAAAATAATTCAATGTAATTATGAAAATTTGACTTAAAATCTTTAAATCAGGGGACAGCAGGTTGTTAAGGTGCTGGACTCTCACATGGCCAACCGTGGTTCAAGTTCCCGTAACAGCAGCTTGAAACATGCCAGGCATGTGTGTGCATGCCCAAAATTCCAAGAGGAGAATGGAGGAAAGGGGATTGGCATTGCCTTCCTCCCTGGGGGGGTGATTTCTTATTTTCTGTCTCTCTGTCTCTCTCTATCTCTTCAGTGAGTGCACACATTCTATAGCAAAAAAATCTCAAGAGAAAAAGAAAAGCTCAAATTCATTATTTAAAATTAAAAATATACAAAATTCTCAGACCCCAGAATATCAAAACAAAAGACTTGTATGATTTTCAATTAAGTAAAAAGTGATAAACATGACTGAATGTATAGAATAAATTGAAATAAAAAATATTTTTTAAAAAAGCTAACAGACCTACAAATCTATTCAACTTCACCAGCAAGAAAAAAAAAAACTATTTGTAAAAACTCTTTAATATTCCTATTTTGAACTTTGATTAATTTTTTATGTGAATGCCCAATGTGAAAGGAGAAACTGAAATGTATGTCTTATGAACTATTGTCACAAGGTATGAATTGCAAGCACTCTGTTCATCTGGATTCTTCAATAAAAACAAAAATATGCACAAATACCCTCTTTTCAAAAATTCCTTAAGAGACCCTAAAGTCATTGCACATCTCATCACAACTCTGATTCTACTTTTCCGACTTCTTTAACTGCAACTTTAGGGCATATGTTCTTTTTTTTTTTTTTTTTGGAGAGGTTTTCGCTATAGGGTGCGTGCGCTCGCCAGATAGACAGAAAGAGACATAGAGACAGAAAGCGAGAAATCACCCCCCAGGGGGGATGGCCACGCCGCAATCCCTTCTCCTCCATTCTCCTCTCGGGATCTTGGGCACGCACGCACGCACACATGCCTGGCATGAGTTTTAAGCCACCGGGTCCGGGACACGAACCGCAGTCCACTACGTGGGAGTCCAGCGACATAGCCATTACGCTAACTGCTGGTTCCCATCAGGGCATATGTTTTAATTTGACTAAAATCACTTTATTTCTCCAATTCCTTATTCACCCTGATCCAATTGGATGTCTATTCCCATCACTAAATTGTCTACAGTGATGGCTGCATTGCAAAGTCTGACAAATGGCTTTTTCACATACTAAACAAACTAATGATGATTAACTTGATCAGCCAAGTAATGAAACACATCAACCTCTGGGTTCTTGCTAGGCTGGTTTGCCTCTCAGGTGATCTCAGGTAGATGTTCTTGACATCCATTCTCTCTGAACTGTTCCCGAGGTACCTACCAGGTTTTCACACTCACCTGTATGGGTACTCAGAGAGGACAGTTTTCTGGTGGAAGGGTAAATTTTCTCCTGGATAGGTGGTGATGGAAACTGAAGCTCTGTCCCTAGAAAAGACACAGTGAAAGAACTAAGCATAGTACCCTAGCCAGACTTTAAGATTCCAGAAAAATCATCCAGCCCAAGGCTGTACTCTTTAAGAGACAATGACAGAAGAAATATTTTCAGCTACCTATATCTGCTCACTAGGTACATTTCTTCCTTATAACTACAACCTCCTAGTAGCTGACTTCCCTCGTGGACACTGGTGTGGAAAGAAGGGACAATTTTCCTGCTGATTTGTTGTTCTCAAGAGACCAAGTTGGAAATGTAATTAATTCAGTCTTTATTATTCATGTTCTCTATGAACCCTCCTGCCTCCAGAGATCATTAGCTACTTTCACCAACTCTGAATTAAAATTTAATTGTCATGGGTTAGCAGGTGGTATGGAGATTAAGGTGCTGGAAACGTAACCATGTAGCATGGCTGACTACACAGTTCAAGTCCCAGACCTGTTCGGAGAGAAATTATGCTGGGTCCGTGTGCATGTGTGCCCAAAATTCGGAGAGGAGACTGGAGAAGGGATTGCAATATGGCCATTCCCCCAGGGGGAGACTTCTCAGTTTTCCTTTCTCTCTTTATCTCCCTGTCTCTCTTTTTCTTTGGTGAGCACATGTGCCCTTCAGCAAAAATCAAAATATATAAATATATATAATATATAAATATAAATATATTTAAATCAAAAGTTATATTAATATATATGTGTATATGATAGGTAGAGATTATAAAATACTGCATACATATGCCTTGAAAAATATTGTATGCTATAGAAATGTATGATGATTGAATATAAATAATAAATCATGGGACCAGCAGTTAGCGTAATGGCTATGTCGCTGGACTCCCACGTAGTCAACCACGGTTCGAGTCCCAGAGCCGGTGGCTTAAACTCACGTCAGGCATGTGTGTGTGTGCGTGCCCATGATCCCGAGAGGAGAATGGAGGAGAAGGGATTGTGGCATGGCCATCCACCCTGGGGGGTGATTTTTCACTTCCTGTTTCTCTATCTCTCTCTGTCTTTCCAGTGAGTGCACGCACCCTATAGCAAAATCCTCTCAAAAAAGTAAATAAATAAAAAATAAAAAGAGAGTACATGCGCTCATCTGAGAAAGACAGAGACATTTTGTTTGACTATGACAAAATTTAGGAGAGAGCTATTTCATTCCCTCTCTCTCTCTCTCCTTTTCACTTGTGCTTTTTTCCAAGTTTGTCATTAATATACAAAATATAAAACTGGACAAAAAAGAAAACTGTCCAGATAGCAGATAGTGCAGAAAATTTAATAAATCAAGGTACATAAATGTGATGATGAAACTGCAATAAAAAGAAACTGTAGAAAAATATAGAGCTGCAGCAAGTTCTCAAATCGATCAAAATAAGTGCTCCTCTCTCGCCTGTATCTTGGGTTCCACTTCACAGATTCAATCTACTGCAGAGAGGAAATTTTTTTAGGGGGTGGGGCACCTGGACTTGAACCAGGGACCTCTTTTTTTTTTGAGAGAGGTTTTCACTATAGGGCATGTGTGCTCGCCAGACAGACAGAGAAAGACAGAGCGACAGAAAGCGAGAAACCGCCCCCCAGGCAGGATGGTCATGCCGCAATCCCTTCTCCTCCATTCTCCTCTCAGGATCTTGGGCACGCACACACACGTGCCCAGCGTGAGTTTTAAGCCACCGGGTCCGGGACGCGAACCGCGGAAGACTACGTGGGAGTCCAGCAACATAGCCATTACGCTAACTGCTAGTTCCCAAGAGGAAATATTTGAAAAAATATATATATATAATAGCCATAAAAGGAGCCAGCTGGTGAAGGTTCTTGACTCCCACTGCATGGCTGATCCCACTTCATGTCTTGGATTGGTGGCTTTAAAATCAAATCAGGCACTTGTGCATGCATACAAAAATTCCGAAATGATTATGGGAGAGAAGGGATTGTGGCATGGCTCAGAATTGTTCAGAATGATATCCATCACTTAAAAATAAATAATACTTAAGGGTGCACAGAGATAACAAAAATTTTCAAGTATTTATGAAACAAAGCTGGGAATAACTTTGGGGAAGTAGAAAAATATCAAAAAAGTATTTGCTGGATATGGGAGAGTGTAGAAAGCTAGATACAGTGTTACTGCAATTGTATAGACAAGAAGAGCAAACTTTACATTCACAATTTCATCAGAAAATCACAACTTTTAGCTCCAAGGCTTTGAACTCTGCAGTCATGGGCACTACTTCAGCTCCAGGCCAATTGATTCTTTCATAGTTTCCCTTCCAAAGACTATTTTCAGAGCCCTCTTTATGTCTTTATTCCTCAGACTGTAGATGAAGGGGTTCAGCATGGGTATGACTACAGTGTAAACCACCGAGGCTGTTGCACTTGAGTGTGAGCTGTGAGTAGCCCTACCACTAAAGTACACACCCAGGCCTGTGCAATAAAATATAGAGACAACTGAGAGGTGAGAGGCACAGGTGGAAAAGGCTTTGTACTTCCCCTGAGCTGAGGAGATTGTACGTATAGATGAAACGATCTTAGAGTAAGAGTAAATGATCCCAGCGAGGGGCCCACCACCCAGCAGCATAGATGTAAAATAAATCACTATGTCATTAACAAAGGTGTCAGAGCAAGCAAGGTAGACCATCTGATTAAGCTCACAGAAAAAGTGGGGGATCCCCACATGTGTACAGAAGGACAGCCTCAACACCATTAAGCATTGTAACAAAGAATGCAGGACACACACGATCCAGGATGCCAGAAGAAGTTTTCCACAGAGCCAGGGGTTCATGATGACCGTGTAGTGCAGGGGGTGACAGATGGCCACATACCGGTCATAGGCCATCACGGTCAGAAAACAGTCATCTAATGCTCCAAAGACTAAGAAAAAGAACAGCTGGGTGATGCAGCCTGCATAGGTGATGGCCTTGCTCTGTGTCTGGATGTTCACCAGCATCTTTGGGACGGTGGTGGAGGTAAAACAGATGTCAGCAAAGGACAGGTTGGAGAGGAAGAAGTACATGGGGGTGTGCAGGTGGGAGACTGAGATGGTGGCCAGGATGATGAGCAGGTTTCCACACACGGTGATCAGGTACATGCAGAGGAAAATCCCAAATAAGAGGGGCTGCAATTCTGGTTCCTCTGAAAGTCCCAAAAGAAGGAATTCTGAAATTTGTGTATCATTTCCTGGTTCCATTATGATTACCTGAAGAGAGGAAAATAAGATGGCTATTACACACATAGGTATTACTGACATAGTTGAAATGCCATATTTAGTATTTTTTGTCACAATTATTTTCTATATTTTTGTATGGATCTAATCCCCTTTAGGCTTTCATGGTGCCATCTCCGCTTAGGACTTCCTATTTCATTTCTTTGTTCTTATAGATCAAGTAGTCTATAGGATTAGCTTCCTTATTTATTCACTAATAATCATTGTACATATCTATGGAATGTAATATGACTTCTCAATTAGTTGGTTTTTTGGTTTTTGGTTTTTGTTTTGTTTGTCCTAGGGCACTTGCACTCACCAGACAGAGAGAGAGAGAGAGCAAAGGAAAGTGATAAATCACCTAGCAGGGAGAATGGTCATGACAATCCCCTCTTCTTTTATGATGTTGGGCATGCATGGACACATGCCTGGCATGTTTCCCAAGACATCAGGTCTTGGACTTGACCTGCACAGTCCGCCATGTTGGATTCAACAGCCTTAACCACCATGCCACCAGCTTTCCCAATAACTGTAACTTTAAACACATTGAAAAACAACAGTCTTTCTCCCTTTCACCAATCCCTGGCAACCACCATTCTGTTTTCTGATTCTATTATTTTTGACTACTTCAGATATCTTAGTGAAATCACACAGTAATTTATTTCAAAGGTCTTCCATGGATCACCATAGAGCTCTCCTAATTTTCATCTGTTGGTAAGTACTCAAACACATATAAGAGTCACAATGTGGGGGGTTAGCAGGTGTCGTAGTGGTAGAATCACAGTTTGGAATTTAAGAACTCAGATAAACGTGTTCTGAGATCTGTTCCTGTTCTGCAAAACACAAACACACACACACATACACACTAACACACACACAAAACTATGAACTCTAGAGTCATCAGCCACATCGATTAGGAAAATAATGGATATGAGATCATTCTGTAACATCGAATCATCATTTCCCTAAAAAATTGCAGAAATGGTTCCCAAATTCCAGTTGCTAAGCTTTCCATAGACAAGAAACATGGACCTTCATTTTAACTGACTGATTTTTATTTTATTTTATTTTTATTAATCTTATAAATTTTTCAACATTGAATCACTGCTCATCATCTGGCTTATAAAGAGTTCATAATTTGTTTTAAAAGAAACAAAAATATCTGCTCGCTACAATGAAGGGTGCCAGGGACCAGCAGTTGGAGTAATGGCTATGTCACTGGACTCCCATGTAGTCGATTGCAACTCAAGTCCCAGACCCAGTGGCTTAAACTCAGCCTGGGCATGGATGCATGTGTGCCCATGATCCCAAGAGGAGAATGAAGGAGAAGGGATTGTGACATGGCCATTCCCCCAGGGGGATTGCAAAAGCCTTTAAAAAAAAATGAAGGGGGCCTGCAGATGGTATAGCATTTACGTCACTGTACTCCCATATTGATGACCATGGTTCGAGTCCTGAACCCAGTGACTTGAAACTTGCAACAGGCACATGTGCATGTGTGCCCAAGATCCAGAGAGGAGAATGGAGGAAAAGGGATTCAAGCATAGCAATCTACCCAGGGGAGTGATTTCTCACTTTCCCTCTCACTACCTCTGTCTCTGTATCTCTATCTCTCTGGTGAGTTCAGCACCATAAGACAAAAGCCTCCATAAATAAATAAAAAGAATAAAGGGTTAGTACGTGGCATGGTGGCACTTCATATATACCGACTGTCCACACTCTGTGGTAGAGATTGAAAGATTGGAGGACATAAAAGCAGTGAAAGTAGTTATGGATGCTGGAGACATTGTGCAATGACAGTGGGGAAAAAAGAAGCATGTAGAGAAGGAAATCAAGGAGAAAAAAATAGAGAGGCAAGATATTTGTGGGACAGAAATGGTTTAATACCTGTTGATGAAATGTGTCTAGTATGCTCAACTGGACTCCCACATGGTCAACCATGGTTCCAGTCCTGGACCTGGCAGCTTGAAAATTACCCTGGGTACAATGTGCATGCATGCCCAATACCCTGACAGGAGAATGGAAAATAAGGGATTGTGGCACATACATCCTATGGCAAACACCCCTTACCTACGCTCCCCCCCAAAAAAAAGAGGAATGGATGCATGAGGAAGGGAAAAAGATCTAATAAGCTCAGGTGGCCCTGAGAGATGGTGATGAAGAGAAAACTCCCTTGATCCTGAGGCATGCCAAGCCCAGTTATACCCAAGTATGCCCAACATCAGTAATAAACCAGTTAAAATGAACATTTTTGATACAGAATAGTGCAATGTATTTATGATGTTTGGATATGTTACAGATTGAACTCCCCAAGAGAACAATGAGAAAGGCCAATAAACCCACAATTCAAAAAATGAAATATCCAAAATATGACAAAACTATAGAGTCTTTAAAGAAAGGGTAAAAGTCTATGGAATTATGTTTAATTAAAAATCAATGGAATCAGAAAACTGGATTTTGTATCTCAGATCTAGCCCTCAATGACTCTCCAGCAGAAAATAAAGCAGAAATTTCATCGCTTCAAGCATATGATTTGACTCTCCTTGAAAAATGCACCTCTTCCATGATAGCTTCAAACACATGACTCCATCCTCCATGAAGAATGTACCTTTGGGACCAGCAGGTAGCATAGTGATTCAGGCAATGGATACCCATATGAGTAACCACAGTTCAAGTCCCAGACCCAGAAACTTAAAAATCTAAATAATGTATAGTGATTGAATGCATAAATCATAATAAAAAACTATCTAAAAAATTCTAAAAATACAATAAAAGCCATACCATGTCTGTATGTACATGCCCAAAATCCCAAGAGGAGAATGGAGAAGAAGGGATTGTGGTGTGGCCATTCTTCTGGGAAGTGATTTCTTACTTTCCTTCTCTCAGTCTTTGTCTTTTTCCAGCAAGCACACATGACCTATGGAGGAAATAAATTAGGAGAAAAATAGAGAGATAAGACATTTATGGGAAACAGAAATGGATTATTAACTGTTGATGATAACATGTACACTATACTCAACTGGACTGGTATGAAGTGTATTTATGTTGTATAAATTCACTTTATAAGCTAAGTGATGTATAGTGATTTAATGCATAAAATAAATTTAAATAAATAAGAAAAAATTTCAAATAACCAAAGGACAGGAGAATGCTCAGTCAGAAAAGCACTTCCACTTCAATGTTTGTTGCCGCATTATTCATCATTTATAAGGCATGGAACCAACACAAATGTCCACAATCAGATGAATGGATTGAAAAAGTGTGGCATATATACTCAATGGAATACTATTCAGCCATAAAAAACAAGACCCTGGAATTTGATAGAAAGTGGTTAAATATGGAAGATTGATTGCTGAGTGAAGCAAGCCAGGCTATTACAGACAGACATTGTATGTCTCCACTTCATATATACCAACTATCCACACTCTATGGTAGAGATTGAAAGATTGGAGGACATAAAAGCAGTGAAAGTAGTTATGGATGCTGGAGACATTGTGAAAGGAGGGTGTGAGAAAGGAAGCACAGAGGGAAATAAATCAAGGAGAAAAAAATAGAGAGGCAAGATATTTGTGGGACAGAAATGGTTTAATACCTGTTAATGATAATGTGTATAGTATGTTCAACTGGACTGGTCTGAGATGTATTTCATGTGGTATAAATTCTCTTTATAAGTCAAATAATGTATAGTCATTGTATGTTTAAAAAAATAAGAATAAAAAATAAATAAGAGGAAAAGAATAAAAAGGAAATGAAAAAAAAAACAATAACATAAAATAAAAAACGAAAACAGCTCTAACTCTACACCTCCTACCCCTGCCCACACTGATCCCCCAAACACTGAACTTCACTTTAAGCTTCACCAGACTCCAGAGCATCAGTACTCACTTTTACTTAATGTGCTTCCCTCCTTTGGGACTCTGTCACTGGTATATTTGGAATTTTTTATTCTCCTTCCTTCTCAAGAACATCTACTCTTTCAACCTCCATAAAAGTTTATTTTATTTTAATTTCTTTTATACATTCAATCACTATACATTCTCAGCTTGTAAAGTCATCTTCTTTTTAATTTTTTTTAAAAACATTCTTAAAGGAAAAGAACACTTCCTGCATGTACTTATTTAACATGTGGGACTATCACTTTCTTGATTTTATTTAATTCCACATCATTTTCCCTAGCTAGGCTCAAAATGGCTTGAGGGATGTAGCAAACATACATGAGGTTATATATTCACCTCCCCTAATCTTCTCCCCAGAATCATTTTTTTTAGAATTACTTATTATGATTTTTTTTAATGTGCTAAAGGGTATATGCACTCAACAGAATGTGACACTAAAAGAGAAAGTGAGAAAGCAAGCCACCAAGTCTGGGACTCAAATCACAGTTGGCCATGTGAGACTCCAGTGTCTTAATCACTATACCATCTACTGGCCCTTACACAGTAGTGGTTTTTTTTTGTTTGTTTGTCTGTTTTTTGTTTTTGTTTGTTTGTTTGTTTGTTTGAAAGGTTTTTGATATAGGGCATGTGCACTCGCCAGAAAGACAGAGAGAGACAGAGAGACAGAAAGTGAGAAATTATCCCTCAGGGAGGATGGCCACACCGCAATCCCTTCTCCTCCATTCTCCTCTCAGGATCTTGGGCACTCATTCATCTGTGCCCAGAGTGGGTTTAAGCTACCTGGTCCAGGACTCAAACCATGGTCAACTGCAAGAGAGTCCAGTGACATAGGCTTTACACAAACTGCCAGTCTCCACTTGGACCCGGTGGCTTAAACTCATGCCGGATGCATGTGCACGTGTGCCCAAGATCCTGAGAGGAGAATGGAGAAGGGATTGTGGCATGGCCATCCCCCCTGGGGGGGTGATTTCTCGCTTTCTATCTCTCTGTCTCTCTCTGTCTTTCTGGCGAGCGCACAAGCCCTATGGGAAAAACACCTCCAAAAAAAAAAACAAACAAACAAACAAACATTCTTACCATGAATAAAGA